CACTTGGGCTCAGATCCCATTTCCTACTTAGTGGCTGTGTGTTTGTGGACAACTGTTCTCCTGTCTGAAAATGAAGATACTATTGTGCCAATTCTATGAGTCACTAGAACAATGCTGAGCAGTTCACGCTTGAAAATTAACTCTGATGGGGGAAACAAAGGCATGGAGAGGCTGTGTGACTGCCCAAAGACACACAGCTCATGAACAAGATTTGCCACCAAGTCAGTTTCTCTGATTGCCAAATTGTGCTATTTCTAGTTTCCCAGAACTGGTATGTGCATTGACAGTGGACAGCAGTGTGGACTCTGTCCCCTGGAAGGCCCTCGATACACATAGACCTCATCCCTGAACCTGTGTTTCTTATCCCTCAGAAGTTCCACCTCGTGCCAAGCATCAATGCTCTGAGTGGCAGCCAGGAATTGCAGTGGATGGTACAGCCTCATTTCCTGGGGCCCAGCAGCTACCCCAGGCCTCTGACCTACCCTCAATACAGCCCCCCACAACCCCGGCCAGGAGTCATTCGGACCCTTGGGCCACCTGCAGGGGTGCGTCGCAGGCCCTGTGAACAGGTAAGAAGCCAAGGTGTTGTGCTGGTTCTGATTGCCCACAGGAGTGCTAGGGTACAGGGGACAAGCTCTTTCTAGAAAGGAGAACCCAGGTTTAGAAGAGGGAAGGCAGTGTCACTGGTGACTTCTGCCCAAGTCAGAGAGTGATAGGAGTCCAGGGGGAGGCTCAGATAGTAAAGAGATCACTTCTGGATCAGGGGATGCTCCCCATGGAGGGCAGCATGCTAGCATGAAAGGAGGGTAGGATTTGCATAGGCAGAAGCCATGCAGGAGCAAGAATGGAGGAGAAAGAGTATAAGGCTTGCCTGTGGAAAGATGGGAGGGTCTCTTCACTGCTGTTATACATGAAGAGGTGGGCTAATGCAGTCTATATAGTGGGGCAGGGGAAATGGGAACAAGAGGGTTTGCTACTTTCCAGGTCTCGAGGTTCCCTATCTCATTTAATCCTCACAAAAACCCTTTGGGGGTATTTTGGTTTTTATAATTTTCCAGGCAAGAAAATGAAGGCACAGTGAGGTATTTACTTGCCCAAGATCATACAAGTAGTGAGTGATGAGACAGGACTGGCTTTAGCCCCAGGTCTACACAACTCTAGAGTCAGATCTGACCACTGACCCACACTGTGTCACTGGGAGCTGACAAAAGACTCCAGGAAGGGGGAACTAAGAGTTCTGGCTTCCCCAAAATAAATGAATGAGACATAAAGGGTCTTTAAGGAGGCAGATGCTCTTTTTTTCTTCCTGGGCATATGAGACAATAGTGAGGTGAGGTTTCCACATTTAAAAGTCTCCTCTGAACACTGGGTAGAGGATAGGGAGGGAGGGTGGAACCCTGGAAGAAAGGTGATTTGCCACGGGTGCATGTGACCACACCTTTGTAACCAACTAGGGAAGGGAACTGGAGCATGAGCCACAGAGACAGGCAAAGGTAACCACTCCTGTGCTTCCTTCTTTTGTCCCTGTCCTGAGTGTGACCCTTTGATCCTAGGTACTACTGGGTTGGGGCTGAGCTATGAGTGGAGTCTTCCTGAGGGAGGGGGCCTCCATCAGTTGGCTTCTCATTCATTGCAAGTAGTGAGGAAATAGATAATCATTCCTGTTCCAGAACATAAACATATTATTCATCCTCTCTGGGCTTCAGGTCCTTACAAGGGAAATTTGATACGAATATATGTAGGGGCCAGGCATAGGGACCCATACCTGTAATCTCAGCAACTAGGGAGGATGAGACAGGAGGATCTCAAATTCAAGGCCGGCATGAACGACTTAGTGAGACCCTGTCTCAGAATAAAAAATAAAAAGGGCTGAGAATGTAGCTCAGTGGTAAAAAGTGCCCCTGGGGCCTGGGCGCAGTGGTGCAGGCCTGTAATCCCAGCAGCTTGGGAGGCTGAGGCAGGCAGAACGTGAGTTCAAAGCCTTCTTTGGAAATTTGGGGAGGTGCTAGGCAACTCAGCAAGACCCTGTCTCTAAATAACATAAAAAAGTGCTGGGGATGTGGCTCGGTGGTTAAGTGCCTCTGGGTTCAATCCCAGGTACCAAAAAAAAAAAAAAAAAAAAAAAAAAAACACCACCAACAAAACATCCCTGGGTTCAATCTCTGGTATAAAATGCATACATATCTACATATACACACATATGCATGCATGCTGGAGGATGTCGCTCAGTGGTATAGTACTTGCCTACCATGCACCAGGCCTGGGTTCAGTCCCTAGCTCCCCCCCCCCAAAAAAAAGCAAAGCCTACAAACCTAAATAAAGTGCTTAGATGGTATACAGAAGGCTCCCAATAAAGAGTCTTCAGCAGGGGTTGGGGCTATAGCTCAGCGGTAGAGTGCTTACCTAGCACATGTGAGGCCCTGGGTTTGATCCTCAGCACCACCTACAAATGAATAAATAGAATAAAAATACTAAAAAAAAAAAAAAGCCTCCCGCAGCACTCATGAGCCCCACTAAGGCGTCACTGTTCCTGCAGGAAGAGATTTGTCCTACCAGAGATCCAAAAGGACAAGGGTCCTGGGAACAGAGATAATCCTGACCTAGGGGCTCAGAAGATAAAAGTTCACTTCTAGCTGGGCTTCATGGAGGCGAGGGCTTCTGAGTTTGGTCCTGGGAGATGAGAAGGGTTAAGTTTTGTGGGAGGCGAGGGCATTTCGGTAGAGAAATAGGCACTAAGGCTATGGGTGAGGAGGATTTGCCCCTGAGTACGGAGAACCAGTCCCAGTGTGGTGGTCACTAAATCACAGGTTGAGGGTTGTGACCCCGCGCTGCCGTGCCCTCCGCAGAGGGCGAGTTCCAGGCGGCGGGTGGCTCGATACCGTCTCACTGACGCCCCCATTCCCTCCCTTTAGATCAGCCCCGAGGAGGAAGAGCGGCGGCGAGTGAGGCGCGAGCGGAACAAGCTGGCCGCGGCCAAGTGCAGGAATCGCAGGAAGGAACTGACTGACTTCCTGCAGGCGGTGAGCACTGGTCGATTTAGGGGGCAAAGGGACCCTGATCCCAGGAGTCCGCGGGACCCCAGTACATTAGCCCCCATGCCCCATCCTAGCTCCTTGTCCTGCGAAAAGGACATTAAAAATTAGTCGCAGCGCGCTTCTCAACAGAGACCAAATGAAGCCAGCTGACAATTTCCTAAGAAGCCCTGGGCCTGATGGGAGTCATGCCCGTGCCCATTTTCTCCCAGGGGCTTATGGGAGTTGCAGTCCAGATTTGCAGGGAACTTCCAAACCCCTACTTCCCCCCAACCTCCCTCCAGGGGAGGCCTTTGGGGGTCTTCAGTCCTCATCTTCTCCTAACCCTCTATAGGAGACTGACAAACTGGAGGATGAGAAATCTGGACTGCAGAGAGAGATTGAAGAGCTACAGAAGCAGAAGGAGCGTCTGGAGCTGGTGCTGGAAGCTCACCGCCCCATCTGCAAAATCCCAGAGGGAGACAAGGAGAGGGACACATGCGGTACCAGCGGTACAGGGGGCACCAGCAGCTCACCAGGCCCCTGCCGCCCTGTACCTTGCATCTCCCTTTCCCCAGGGCCTGTTCTTGAACCTGAGGCCTTGCACACCCCCACACTCATGACTACACCCTCTCTGACCCCTTTTACCCCCAGTCTGGTCTTCACCTATCCCAGCACCCCTGAGCCCTGTGCCTCAGCTCATCGAAAGAGTAGCAGCAGCAGTGGAGACCCATCTTCTGACCCCCTGGGTTCTCCCACCCTCCTCGCTTTGTGAAGCACCCAGTGCCATCCCCTGCAGGTGCTATCCTAGTCAACATCTCCTTTTCCCCCCATTAGTCCAGCTGGTCTGGACCATATCCCATGCCCAATACCAGCAGGTTCTTCTCCATCCTTCCAGATGAGACTGAGCATATTTTGCTTTGCAGTAGAGCCAGCCTGGGGCCACCAAAGCTGCCCACTGTTTCTCTAGAGCTGGCCTCTCCATCACAAGTTGCACTAAATCAGAAACAAAATATTTCCCATTTATGACAGAGAAATTCTGGCAGCTCCTAACCCCTTCTAGACCACACCTACTACACTTCATTATCCTGCAACCCAGCCAACCCTACCCCCTGACAGAAGGTGCTGTTTTACCAGCCTAGAACACTAATTCACCCAGCCCCACTGCCAGCAGCTCCAGGTGATTGGACCAGAGCATTCTGCCAGCCCCTCCTGAATGGCACAGCTCAGGAGGTGTCAGAGGCTTCTGTGATGAGCTGACTTGCAGCCCCCAGCTCTGAGAAGCCCTTAGCTCCAGGAAATCCTAAGCCTCCCAGAGAGGGCAGCTGCTATTTATTTTCCTAAAGAGAGTATTTTTATACAAACCTGCCAAAATGGAATAAAAGGCTTGAAGCTTTGGCCTGGATGCCTGGTTGGATCCAGATGCTTTTAAAGAGACAATTTGGGGTAAGAAGTTCTAGGTTCTGATCTCAGCTCCTGACTCACTGCAGTGACTTTGGTCATATTCTTGGCCCTCAACTGTCTTATCTGATAAATAGGGTTATGTATGCTCTGCCTCATCTCCAGGACCAAGACATGGGGTGCAAGCTAAGATCATAATTTCTCCCCCTGGGGGCCCACAGTGCTCCTGCGTGCGCCACATGGGGCGCTGTTATGCCCCTCCACTTTCCGAGGAGCCGGCCAGTGGATTCTAGGTCCCCAACATCTGCTTCCTGCCCCATTGTCTTGGACAGGAAGGAGCCGGGAAGGGAGCTGGAGCCACTTCAGGGGGCTGATTACGGCCTGTCCGGGCAACCAACGGTGGTGGTGGGGGGGACAGTGGAGTACGACCTTTCTGCATCCCACCCCAGTGGATCCCCAGTAATGAGGGAAGTCAGCCACCTTAGTTCTGAAGCAGTCCCTCTGGAAGGAAATGATACCCCGTCTTAGCGTTCCCTCCCTCACCCCAACCCCGGCGAGTCCTAGACAGATGCTGCCCAGGCTTCAGGCTCCGCTTCCGTCCGAGTTTATTAGTCCCCACCCAACCCCCAGCAAGTCCCTCCGCTCCAGCCTCCAGTCCCCCTGCTACCCCGCCAGCGAGAGCGGGGGGGCTTCCTCAATGTCAGGGATTCTTAGTCCATGCCAGCGGCCCCTATTACACTGCCGAAGCGACCGTCGAGGTACGGAGATCCACAGCAGTCCTGGCGCTCAGGAAGCAATTCTGGCGAGCGTCGGCGTAGAAGCAGCGCCCTCAGTCATCCGGGGAGCAGACGAGGGGCAACTGATCGGGGCTGCCCACGCTGCCGGTACTGGAACTCCCGTCGCCTAGGTCGCGGGGACCGCAAGGAGGCAGGGCTAGCTCTGGGGTCGGCCCGGCGCCGGAGCCCCCAGCGCCTCCGGGGCCGCCCCGGGGACCCCACTCTTCGCCCAGCGCCAGGCAGAGCTCCTTAAGCGCCAGGTTCTCCCGCAGCAGCTCCTCCTGTCGGCTCTCCAGCTCGGCTAGCTTCTGCCAACAGCCTCCCAGGTCCTCCCGTACCGCCCGGGATGCTTGGGTCCCGAAGAGCTGCCACTGGCGTGCGGCGCGGCGCCCGCGCTGGCGCTCCGAGTCCAGGAAGCAGCAGAGATCGCGCAGCTCCCTGTTCTCGGCCTGCAGGCGCCTGTTGAGCTGCTTGAGCTCGCGAATCTCGCCCAGGTGACCCTGCAGTTGCCGATTCACCTCCTGCATGAGGCGACCGCGCTGCACCAGTGCCGCCAGGCGCGCCGCCTCCTCTCGCCGCAGTCGCCGCACCAGCTCCTCCTTGCCCAGTGCCGCCATCTCCTCGTCCGTCAGCTCCTCCAGGCCGCCTGCCTCGGCCTCCATGGCTGGTCAGGCCGCTGGAGCATCGCCCGCCCGCCGCCGCGGCCCAGGAGCCCGACGTTGGGACCGGCGCCGCTCGGGTTCGGGCTCGGGCTCGGGCTCCGGCTCCGCGGGCGGCCAGCAGTGCTAGAGGTAGCGTAGGCTGCAGCAACCACCCGGGGGTGGGCACGCGGCGGGACGCGCGCCGAGGCGGGGCTGCGTGACGGTACCAAAGGACAACCAATCCGGCAAGCCTCTCCGGAAACGGGCGGGGCCTGGGCGCTGAGCGCCTCTTCCCGCCCATTCCGACCCGAGGGATCGCGACCCCTGGCGCCAGTCTTAACTCAATTTGGAGGGGCTCAGTCCTTCCAAGTTCCAGATCTCATCAATCCTGAGCCTAAGCATCTCAGCTTCATCTGAGAACGAAGATTTGGGCGACCGCTTCTGACTCCTTCCTGCCCAATCCGCGACGGAAACCAGACGGATAGCTTTCCATTCTCTCCTATCTTCTGTGGAATTCTAGTCTTCGCTCTCTAAGCATTACTCCTAGCTCCTCCGGATCCTGAATTCAAATGTCCTGGCTTCATTTATCAGTCTACCCTTCTTCCCAGGGAATTGGACATCCAAGAGATTCGTTTATTCAGTAAACCTTTATTGTGTTAGGGTAGAGACAGCCCTGAAATAAATTTGACCAAGATCCTGATCTTGACCTCAAAGAGTCCAAAATCTGGTGAAGGAAACATGCTGAGATTAACAAGAAGCAAAATGTTGGAGGAGGGCTGGGAGTGTAGCTCAGTGATAGAGCGCTTACCAAGCATGCCTAAGATCCTGTGTTCATTTCCAGTACCAAAAAGAAGAAGAAACGCTGGCTGTGGTGGCACACGTCTGGAATCTAGCATTTAGGGAGGCTGAGGCAGAAGAATTGTGAATTCAAAGCCAGCCTCAGCAACTTTGCTGAGGCCTTAAGCAATTTAGCAAGACCCTGTCTCAAAATAAAAATATAAAAAAGGGCTGGGATGTGGCTCAGTGGTTAAGCACCCCTGGGTTAAATCCCCAGTACCAAGAAGGAAAAATAAAAATAAAAAGGAGTGGGCTGGGGATGTGGCTCAAGCGGTAGCGCGCTCGCCTGCGTGCGGCCAGGTTCGATCCTCAGCACCACATACAAATGAAGATGTTGTGTCCGCCGAAAACTAAAAAAAAAAAATTAAAAAACTCTCTCTCTCTCTCTCTTTCTCTCACAAAAAAAATAAAAATAAAAAGGAGTCCTCAAGTATAGTCTAGAGGATTCCCAAAAGATTTCTCCAAAAAGGTGATATACAATTTGACCCTGAAAGGTGAATAGGACTTTGCCAAGTAGAGAGAAAACTATGTGAGGGAGAGAGAATAGCGGAGTGAAAGACACTGATGCTCCAAAAAGCCTAGCTGCTTTGGGAACAATGAGAGTAGCCTGATGTTTTTTCAAAGACAGAGGTGTATAGAAAGTGGTGTGGAAGAGTAGGTGGAAGCCAGATTTTTTTTTTCTTTTTTTCTTTTTGCAATACTGGGATTGAACCCAGGGGCACTTTATCTCTGAACTACATCCCCAAACTCTTTTAATTTTTTCTTTTTGAGACGAGGTCTAAACTTTCCCAGGCTGGCCTCCAACTTGCATTCCCCTGCCTCATCCTGAATCCCTGGGATTACAGGCATTCACTACCACATTCAGTTAAAATCCTTAAGAGATTTCAATACTAGACTGGAGAGTTTCCAAAGGCCCACAAGGATTTAAAACAGGGGAGTAAATTTTAAATTACCCACTTTAAAAAGATTGTTCAGCGACTTCGTGTGGGATGGACCCTGCGAGGAGAGAAGGGAGGCAGGGATAGGCAGGGAGATTAGTAACATTGTGTCAGTGAACAAGGAGAGCTAGGCAGACTGGGCTGGGACTGTGTCAGTGGGAGTGGAGGGGGTGAAACAGATACTAAAGATACTCAGGAGGCAAATGCAAAGAGAGGAATCTGGGCGAAAGTCCAGGTTTCTAGTGTGAGAATTGGGTGGATATTGGGGCTGTCACTGAGATAGGGAAGCAGGGAAGAGATCTGGGAAGAGCAAAACATCTGTCTAGAATGTGTTGAGCTTTTGGGGGGCGTATGGGAAGACAGTACGGAGAGACTTAGTAGATAGGCAACCCTGTGGATGCTGGCTCCAGGCAGAGTTCTGACGAGTCCAATAAGGTTATTAGCTGGTGTGAGAATGAGGATTGTGGTTAAAACCATGGTGGGAGCAGGTGCCCTGTGTCCAGGGAAGGTGCTCAATTGCAGGATGATCAGAGGGATCCCCAGAAAGAGCTCTTGGAATAGGACCCCACACCCATTTTGCAGAGGAGAGACTTAGGGTAGAGAGAGCCCTGTGATGTTTAGGATGTAGATCAAAGTTGAGAGGCCCCAGGAGGGCAGAGATGGTGAAAGGAAGTGAGGGGAGAATTTGTGGGGCAGGAGAGATGAGCGGGAGGCACTTAGAATGCCCTCCTGAAAACAGTTCGGATCAACAGAGTAGGGAGAGCGAAAGATCTGGGATACATCCGTCTCAGTGTAGGGAGCAGCTACTCTACAGACACGCTTCCACCTCTTTCTTAGCTGTCCCCGCCCCACCCCCTCCGTTCCGGAAGTGGTCCTTCACTGGCTCCGGGTGCTCGGAGCGTAATCTCTGCGCTCCCGGAAGTGGTCCGGCAACCGCGCGCCGGGCCCGGGCAGTGCCAGCTCCTGCTCCGGGCGCCCCGGGCCCGGGCGTCGCCATGACCAGCGAACTGGACATCTTCGTGGGGAACACGACCCTTATCGACGAGGACGTGTATCGCCTCTGGTTGGATGGTTACTCAGGTTGTGGGGGTCCTTCTGGGGGAACCAGTGGGGCTGAGCAGTTGTTTTGAATGTAACAGGGGGCGGGGCCAGGACTCAGACATCCTTTAGGGAAGTGGTCACCTGGCTTGGAATGAGGCATGTAGAAGGGTTAGTGCTGGCGTTCCTGAAGGGACTCAGGGGTCAGGGGGGCTGGGTCTTGATGATGGCACCCACTCCCCAGTGAGCGACGCTGTGGCTCTGAGAGTGCGTTCGGGAATCTTGGAGCAGACGGGGGCCACGGCGGCGGTGCTGCAGAGCGACACTATGGACCATTACCGCACCTTCCACATGCTTGAGCGCCTGCTGCACGCGCCACCCAAGCTACTGCACCAACTCATCTTCCAGATTCCGCCCTCCCGGCAGGCGTTGCTAATTGAGAGGTGCTCACCTGGTGGATGGTGGGGACGTCAACCAGTCTGACCGTATACCTGTTTTGCAGGCTGAAACCGAGGTCTGGGAGGGACGGAACTTACTTAAGAACTAAGAAAGTTGAAAGATGAGGCCAGCCCCAGGCCCTGCCGGGACCCCTTTTCCCCTCCTTTATGAAGAGTTAGTGGTGTCTTCTTGCTTCCACAAGATACTATGCCTTTGATGAGGCCTTTGTTCGAGAGGTCTTGGGCAAGAAGCTGTCCAAGGGCACCAAGAAAGACCTGGACGACATCAGCACGAAAACAGGCATCACTCTCAAGAGCTGTCGGAGACAGGTAGGCACTGCACCCACAGTCCATTTTCAGTCCTCTCCTTTATTCCATCCCTAGGCTACTGTCCCACCTCCAGCCTCTGATTGTGGCAGCAGCTTCATTCCTAGTCTCTTCCCCCCTCTTTTTGTTCTTTCTAAGTCATCCCCTCCCTTATGGCCAGGATGACCTTTCATAGGTACACATGTGACCTTGGCTCTCCCCTGCTCATAAATTCTCATTACCTCTTGGGTAGAAACTGCACATCTTGCCTTTAATCTTCAGCCTCTCCTGCTCCCTGCAGACCTCTCGAGGCTTTCATTTCTCAATTCCCAGGATTTCTTTTGTTCATGTTGCTTTTACCTGGAAGGTGCTATTTTTGACCTTATCTGTTCCCCTGAAATTAAAGTCTTCCGCACAAGACTTTTTGTCAGTGCCAGGGAGAAGTAAGCTTTTTGAGCCTTTGATGCCCTTCTTCTGTGCCTTCCATGAGCTCCCCAAGTATGGCTTTGAATTCCTAGGACTTAGGAAAGTCTGTTCCTGTTTAAGTTCCTGAAGACTCAAGAGAACATGATGGTGCAAATTGGGGTTACATTTAGAGAGAGGAGTGAGTAAGAGTGGCAGGGGGCATCACTCATTGGTAGAGCACTGGCCTAGCATGCAGAAGGCCCTGGGTTGCATCCCCAGCACCACGAAAAAGAAAAAAAAAAGTGAGTAAATATCAATTATTCAAGGCAAGATGACAAAAGCTGGCAAACATTTGTTGAATTGATAATAGCTACTAATAACTAGTAGTTTGTTGAAGAACTGGCAAGTGCTAAATCAGCATCTGCCACCTGAATAGGTGGTTAGGAGAGAGAGGGATGTTCATTGGGTGAGCACATTCTAACCAGTCTCCTTCCTCCCCTAAATGCCCTCAAGTTTGACAACTTTAAGCGAGTCTTCAAGGTGGTGGAGGAAATGCGGGGCTCCCTGGTGGATAACATCCAGCAACACTTCCTCCTCTCCGACCGATTGGCCAGGTGAGGGGCCAGCCATCTGCCCTTCTGCACACACCTTCCCTGGGCCCTAAGTCTGACCCATGTTGCTCACCTCAACTTCTTCCACCTCCTAGCTTTACTAGGGGGATGGCTATCCCACTTCTAGTCTGTACTTTGGATCAGACTGACCTGGATTCAAATTCTGTCCTGCCATTTTGCATCTGGGCTGATATGAGGTGGCACATTAAGGTACTTAGGAAGTGCTCAGTAATGGTAGCTGGTACCCTTGTAGTCTTCCACATTATTCCTTAATAAACCTGGGCTGAATGCTTCTCTGTGCACAGATGAAGAGTCCCATAGAGAAGTGACATGAGACATTTCACACAGTGAGTTAGGACAGAAAGAGGCCAGAATTTGGATGCCCAGCTGAGGTTGCCGGTGGGAGCTTGTTGCTAAGAAGGAATTTTTTTTATTCCACACTAAACATTTATCTAGTAAGCTTAATATTCAGGACATTATTGTAGGCACTGTGAAAAGGAATTTTAAGCACTGAGAGGACCTGCCTCCTCCTCCCTGCAGGGACTATGCAGCCATCGTCTTCTTTGCCAACAACCGCTTTGAGACAGGGAAGAAAAAGCTACAGTATCTGAGTTTCGGCGACTTTGCTTTCTGTGCTGAGCTCATGATCCAGAACTGGACTCTTGGAGCCGTTGGTGAGGCCCCCACTGACCCAGGTGCCTGGATACTCTCCCTACCCTCCTAGGGCCTGGTTCCCATCTGCAGTTCCTCCTGTAGGCCCAGTTTCCAGCATCCTTTTGTCTTCAGGTCCCCACCCAGGCTACCTCTTCTCATATCTGCTTTCCCCCACACACCTTATCTGCAGAGCAAGAGCCCACTGCTTCTACAACGTGGCACCTGTCACTCCACCTTGAAACCTCATTTTCTCTTCTGTTCCATGGGTTGCAATGAGGTAGTGGGTGAGGAATGCTCAGGATCTTATGGGATGGGTTTATTACCTACCCCAACTCCCTTCATGGGCCTCACACAGACTCCCAGGTGGACGATATGGATGTGGACTTAGATAAGGAGTTTCTCCAGGACTTGAAGGAACTCAAGGTGCTAGTGGCTGACAAGGACCTTCTGGACTTGCACAAGAGGTGACCTTGGGAGTCCATGGGCAGGGCCTGAAGTGGGGGCTGAGATGGCTTTAGGCATAACCCTTTCTCCCTGTAGCCTGGTATGCACTGCCCTCCGGGGAAAGCTCGGCGTCTTTTCTGAGATGGAAGCCAACTTCAAGGTCTGTGGCCCTGTCCAGCCTCTCCCCTGGCATCTTCAGCCTACCCCTCCCGCAACTGTGCTCTTGCCTGAGGTTAACTGGCAGGTGGCGATGTTGCTCCCTCTGCCCGCCTGTGAGGAGGGATAGGCTTATAAACTGAGGGGACCTGGTTGATTGAGGGAGGTGGATAGATTTGAGGAGGGGCCTCTCCCCCTCATCCTATAGCCTCTGTGCCCAGCTCCTTCTGGGCAGAAAGCAGAACTCCCAGGGTCCCTGCCCCACAGAACCTGTCTCGGGGGCTGGTGAATGTGGCTGCCAAGTTGACCCACAATAAGGATGTCAGAGACCTGTTTGTGGACCTTGTTGAGAAGGTGAGATGTCCTTCCTGCCACCCTGGGATCCCTGACCCAGCCTGTCTATGGATGGTACTGGTGATACTGATTGTTCTCTTTACCCACAGTTTGTGGAACCCTGCCGCTCTGACCACTGGCCACTAAATGACGTGCGGCTCTTCCTGAATCAGTATTCAGCATCTGTTCACTCCCTGGATGGCTTCCGGTGAGAGACCCCAGACCTTGTGTCTAGCTTGGCCTTGATCCAGCTGGCCACCTGCCAGGGTTCACCCTCCTGCAGACTCAGGGTTCCCTATCTTGCTGCCTTAGGGATTCCTCTTAGAATCTGTATGACCTTAAGCAAGTTATTTAACCTCTCCATACCTCAGTTTCCTCCTATAAACTGAGGATAATAATTAGAAGAATCACAAGAATTTATGAGGACTTGTTGGGTATGGTGGTGCACACCCACCTTAATCCCAGCTACTTGAGAAGCTGAGGCAGAAGGATCACAAGTTCAAGGCCAACCTGGGCAACTCAGCAAGACTCTATCTCAAAATAAAAAATTTAAAAAGGGGCCAAGGTTGTAACTCAGTAATGAACAAGCCTGGGCTCAATCCCCACCCTCCACCCCCCCCCCAAAAAAAAATATATATATATATGAGGACTTGTTGCTGCTTTCGTTACAGGCACCCAACCCTCTGGGATCGGTACATGGGCACCCTCCGTGGCTGCCTCCTGCGCCTCTATCATGACTGAGGCTCCTCTTCTATCCTGAGCACACTGAAAATAAAGTTGCCATAAGTTTGAAGACTGATTTTCACTCTAGGGAGAGGAGCATTTGGGGACATGTGCCGTGTATACCTGTGTATACCTGAGTGTCATTGGTGTATGCCAGCCCCTCTGGGACTGGGGCAGGTCAGGGATACTGTCTGTTATCTCCCCCACGTGCCATCTCCATGCCCCAGCTAAGTATACCGAGGAGCCAAGAGTTTTGCTTTGGTTTATTCAAGTTGTATAGAAGATTGGGAGGATAGGCAAAAACCTCAGGCAGGGCCTGTGTAGAGGCAGCTGACATGCAGGAGGGGCCAGCAGGCTGCTGACACGTTTAGGGAGGGCAGGAGACTGGCTGCTTTTTAGCTGGTTTTCCCACACAGGCTGTGACTGGGTATTTGGTGATGCCACAAGTATTGCTTCCTCGGTGCAGTCGGAAGTAGCCCTAGGAAGTTAGGGGACATCAAGGCCAGAAGGTGGGAGAGGGCCTGTTCTACCCTGACCCCTCTTGCAATGGATCCTACTCACCTTCTCACCCCAGTTGTCCCCCCAGGAGTTCTTCAGAATCCAGTAAGGGGTGGAGGGGCGAGGACGGCAACAAGATGCAGAAGAGGCCGATTGTATCCCCTCTTCCACCTTGCTCTTGCCAAAACCCACCAGCAGGACAGAATGATTCACAACCCGGGGGTCACAGGTGGTGGGTGTGGCCTTGAACACACCATTCCGGTAGTGCTACAGGGGCAGAAGTGTTGAGTCTGAGCCCACCCATCCCATATGCCCTACCTCCCACGTCCTACCCTACCCACCTGCAGTGGCTTCATGTTGATGGTCACTGTGATGGGGCCTTGGGTAGCCAGGTACCAGGCAATTGCTGGAGATGGAGGGTGCAATCAGGTCCTGCCTGCCCTGGGGTTGCTGCTCTTGGCAGAGGGGTGTCCCTTTCTCCCCCTACCCCCCACCTCTGTCTGTGGCCAGTCTGGGTGCCTCCATCCTAGTTTCTGTCCCTCAGCCCCTCCATCCCCTGCCCGTGTCCACCCTGGCCGCACTCTGCTCATTTTCCTGCAGCATGATGAAATCCTGGATCCAGGCCACCTTCTTAAACTTCTTGGCCAGGCACATGTGGGCCCGGGTGTGGCCCTGGAATGGGTAGTCCTTTTCACTGGCCAATCCACCTGAAGACAAGCAAGATAAGGAAGGAGACTCCGCTCCTGAATCTCCCCCAGCCCTGTGCTTGGCTAGCGATGGGGATACTCACTGTTGTTGAGGACAGTTATGTATGCATCCCAGACGAAGCCACCCTTGCAGCCGTCCCCACAGCGGCCACAGTCAAGCAGTTCTGGGGCAGAAAGGGACAGTGTGGGTGACCAGGCCCCTATCCCTCTTTTCCCTGTCATACACCCCTCTCCCAGCCATACCCTGCACAGAAACTTCCACGGACTGTCGGTATGTGATGCCCCACAGGGCCTCGATGTTGCCTGCAGCAGCCATGGCCCAGCAGCACTTGCAGTTCCCCTGGGAGGTTAGAGGGTAGAGCACCGTGGGTGTTCAGGCCTATCCTCCCTTCTCCCACCCTTGGGCTGCATACGGATAAACCTATCCAGGTGAGGGCAGATACCTGGTTCTTTTTTTAAATTAATTTTTAGTTGTAGTTGGTCACAATGCCTTTATTTATTTATTTATTTATTTTTATGTGGTGCTGAGGATTGAACCCAGGGTTGCACGTGCTGGGCGAGTGCTCTACCACTGAGCCACAACCCCGGCCCCAGATACCTGGTTCTTGATAGATGAGATGATGCCATCTGCATTCCGCCAGTCACAGGTGGAGGGCAGAGGCTTCCCTGCCTCTTCAGGCCCTGCCTTTCTTCCCATGCTAGGGCTCCCATCTGCTTTCCAGTGTCCATAGATCTTTCCAAACTCCTCCTCTGGGGGACAGACAGGGCCACAGAGGTCAGTTTTGACCCCATTTTCTCCATATTCTGCCCCTTCCACCCTAGTCATCCACATCCTTGGCCATTTGGGTCCCTCAGAGGTGGCAAGATAAGGGTACTGGCCACATCCGCCACCTCCTCTTCACACCAAGCTCTTTGCTGGTACCTTCTGCTTCACTTGCTGCCTCTAGCCCTTGAGCTGGGCTGGGACAGGTTGGCTGAGTTCCTGCCCTTGCAGTCTGAGATTTGGGACAGGCACCCTTTGGTCCTCAAAGTAGAAAGTCTGTTCTGTCTGTCTGCTCTACCAGTATACCCTACAAGAGATCCAGCTTTCCCACCCGCCACTTGTGGCCCAGGAGGGTCCAGGTACCTGTGAGGTCGCTGAATGGAGTCACCCCAAACTCAGCTGTGCCCAAGTCCTCCTCCTGTAGTTGCTGAGCCTTGGCCAGGTTCTGGGCAAAGATGTCCAGGCGGCGAGCATACTCTACACCAAAAGAGAGTTATCTCAGGCTGACTCCCAAGCCCCCTCAGAGGCAGGAAGTGGGCACTGGCGGGGCATGTTCCTACCCAGGTGGGCACTGGCTGCTTTCCTGTAGCCCCTACAGGCTCTATGGTAGACAATGGGCGAGGAAGTGGTTACCCAACCCACCTAGAGTTAGGACTTTCCCAGAGGCAGCAAGAGGAGCATCTTCCCACCCTGGGGAGGCTGAGTGAAGGGCAGAGTGACTCAGAAGGGAAAGTGAGTGGCTGGAGACCGGCTTCCTGCCAGGCCACATCCGCCACCCCCTCTTCACACCTCTGACCACAGATCAGGAGCTGGAACAGGGTAGGGTGGAAGAATGGGGTCCAGATCAGCCCCCTATGGAAGAGGAGATCCAGGACAGAGGGGGCAGGAGCTGGGTTGGCAGCTCATGGGGAGAGAGGGAGTCCCTACCTTGGGGACAAAATGGGTATGTTTGGGTGCTTGTTCAATGAACTCATGACTAGATGGTAGTTCCTTTTTCACTGCCTGGAATGGCAGGGAAATCAACTGCAGGGCTAGGAGAGATGCCCAACAGCTGCCATCTTCCCTTCAGGAACATGGCAAAGGATGCTCCTTCCTGTTCCTACATGTGCATTTGGAGAACCAAGTAGTATATCCCCAGCCCTGCTGAAGTGAGTAGCCTGGGCCAAGCTTATCTCCCACCATGAGCCTCAAGTTCTTCATCTATTTGGAGTGGGGGCTAGACTGGAGATTTATATGACCCAAGATACCTGCTGGGTTCAAGTAACTCCGATTGAACTGGATTTGGAACAACTTGAAGACCTCTTTCAGCTCCAGTGGCCAGGGACCTAGATTCTGGCAAGGAATCGAGATGGAAGAGAAAGCACAGGTGGAAAACTCATTGCTGGGACCCCACCTTAGCTCCATCTCCTAGGACTGGGCTAAGGTGTCAGTGAATTATCTTTCTTGGTCTTCCTTTGTGAGCCTGGACACAGCAACCACCTTTCCAGTCTCTGTTACTCCCTCAGAGAAATAGGCATGGCAAGCCAAGTCCACCCTTCCTTCCTTCTTTCCTTCCTGTTCTTTTTATTAAATCAGGTGAGTTTTACCACTGAGCCACATCCCTGGTTCTTATTTATTTATTTATTTTGAGACAGGGTCTCTTTAAATTGCTGAGGGTCTCATTAAGTTGCTGAGATTATAGGCTTGTGCCATCTTGCCTGGCGACAAGTCAGTTGTTTCTGAAGGGATGATCCTGGACCTGGTACTGGTAGTGGGGAGGGTATGGGGAGCAAGTTGGGAGCACTTACCTGGGCTCCATGGGAGCCTGTGATGTTCTGGGTTAGGCTTGCCAGTAACAGGGCCAAGATGGTGAAGAGGCAGGTAGTCAAAGCCATGGTGGTGCAGCCCCAAATGTGTGCATGGGCAGGAAGCTGTCCAGACCAAGCTGGAGGGGGTGGAGCTGGAGAAACCACTAAAGGAAGCTGGGCTTGAAGTAGGGGTAGACCCCTAGAGCACACAAGCTGCCTCAGGCATTCATGTTTTTGTCCCTCTATTTGCCTGGCTGTTCCCCACCCCAATCCTTTTTCTTTATTTAACAGTGCTCTAGGCCACTGTTCTGGGAAAATCTGGGGATACAGAGATGGATCAGAAAGAGACAAGGATAGATACTGAGTGGGCAGTGACAATAAAGGTACCGCTGCCATGATGGGAGACCCAGGGGATTATAGGCCTCAGACACATGGCAACCAGGTGGGGGTAGAGGATGGTCAGTACTCCCTGGGGAATCATTCTTGCTTCTCCTATGCAGTTGGTCAATACAAGGGCCACCTCCTTCAAGAAGCCTTCCCTGCTCCCCTGTCCTGTGGTATAACCTTCTTCAGCCCCATGAGCCCCTGCTGCTCCTGTGCCCACTTGGCATCTGCCTCCCAATCATACCAGAGATGTCCAATTTACCTGTCTTCAATGTTCAGGACAGGCCTACATAGAGTAGGCGCAATGTTTTTTTTTTGTTGTTGTTGTTGTTTGTTTGGTACTGGGGATTGAACCTGGGGTGCTTAACCACTGAACATATCTCCAGCCCATATTTATATTAGAGACAGAGTCTTGCTGAGTTGCTTAATATATTAACATAGTTGTGCAACCATCACTACTAATTTCAGAGCAGTTTCATCATTCCAGAAGAAATTCTAGGGGCTAGGGTTATAGCTCAGTGGCAGAGCACCTGCCTAGTATGGGTGAGGCACTGGGTTCAATCCTTAGCACCACATAAAAATAAATAAAATAAAGGGATGCTCTCCATCTACAACTACAAAGCATCTTTAAAAAAAATTTTTTTGTAGTTGTAGATGGACAGAAATGCGTTTATTTTACCTGTTCATCTTTATGTGGTCCTGAGGATTGAGCCCAGTGCCCCATGCATGTCAGGCAACCACTCTACCACTGAGCTATATACCCCCAACCCCATATAAAAACATTTTTCAAAACAGTTAAAAAAATTCCATATCCATTAGCAGTCATTCCATGTTCCCCCCTTACCTGGAAAACCATTAGTTTCTCTTTTCCTATTTTGAATATTTTATATAAATGGAATATGTGTTTTTTTGTGTGTGTCTGGCTCCTTCACTGGGTGTATTATTTTAAGGATTAATCCATACTATAATGTGTTTCAGTATTTCTTTTTTAAAGATTTTTTTTTAGTTGTAGATGGGCACAAAATCTTTATTTTGTTTATTTATTTTTATGTGGTTCTGAGGATCGAACCCAGTGCCTCACACCTGCGAGGCAAGTGCTCTACTTCTGAGCCACAACCCGAGTATTTTATTCCTTTTTATGATTGAATAATATTCCACTGTGCGGAGGTACCACATTTTGTTTACTCATCAGTTGATGGACATTGGGTTGTTTCTACACTTTGGCTTTCATATACAGTGAAGAGTGTGTTTAGATTTTTTTTTTTTTTTTGTGTGTGTGTATACATGTCTTCAGTTCTCCTGGGCATACATACACCTCCAATTCTCCATACCGTTATCAACACTTTGTTATTGGCTGTCTTTTTTATTTTAATGAGCTATGTTTTAGGGTTGCTTTTCTTTCGTTTTTTGGTGGTACTGGGGATTGGAACCAGGGGCGTTCTACCACTGAGCCACATCCTCAGCCTTTTTATTTTTAATTTGGAGAGAGGGTCTCGCAAAGTTGCCGAGGCTGGTCTCGAACTTGCATCTTCCTGCCTCAGCCTCCGAATCACTGGGATTACAGGCTGCACCATGAATGTGATTTTTAAATGCTCATCCCAGAGGCTGGGAAGAACGGTGGCAGGAGCGGGAAATTAACCCTCAGCCTTTCCGCCTGAAGCTCTCAGGACTCACCTGCTCGTTCCCTTCTCGGTATATCCCCTCCTGGCAGCCACATTGGATGCGATTGTGGGGATATACAGGGATGGGAAAGGGCAGGGAGGAGCGACTATTCCCGCTCGCAGCCTGGCCCCGGGGGGGATCTCTGGACACGCGGCCCTTTCCCGTATAGTCCCGCCTTGAGACGTGGGCAACGCGAGGCCCCGCCCCTTCCTGGGAGCCAGATCCGCCCAGACTCCGCCCCCAAGGCATGCTCTGTGCCGCGCGCCTGGGCTGGAGGAGGGTCGGGAAGCGGCTGGTACTGTCCCCAGTCACGTTGCGCTCCCGAGTTCAGGCTTGCCCGCCTTCTCAGGGGGTTCCATTCATTTTGGGCCAAAAGGGAATTTCCGCCCCAGCCCCCAAACTGTTGTAGTTTTGCGGACGCAGGGCGCGGGGAAGGCCGTGAGGAGTGAAGAGACCACCTGACTGAAGGCGGGCCTGGGGTGGAGGGCAGATGAAGACATGGACAGTTTTGCGCCTGGGAGCGTCTCCTGCCTGGATGAAGTTTTGGGACTGCTTAGTGTGATGGTCTGAGGGCACAAAATAAAATTCTGGAGCTAGTTAGAGTGAGGATGTGGCAGACCAGTATCAAGTGGGGGTCTAGGTGCCCAGTTACCCTGGGAGGCAGAATCAGCCTGCGTGCTTCGCGGGACTAAGGAGTGGGTGCATAGGATGGGATTCTGGAGGCACAGACTGGGTAGAGTCTAGGTGCGCAGAATAACATTTTTGATGGGGGCTTGGCATCAAGGCCAATGGCCCCAGGACCTAGCACTGGGGGACCGTGGCCGGGCGCCCGGAGTCGGCTCCGGCTGACGCCGCGGGGGATCGGGTGGGGGCCTGTGGCCGGCCGGGGGCGGAGAAGCGGGGGTCGGGGTCCCTCCCCCTGGCGCGGGCTCAGGAATCCGCCGAAGGGCGGGCGGAGGCGCCGGGGTGGGCCGCGCCGCGGCGGGCGGGCGGGGGGCGCTTCCTGGGGCCGTGCGTCCAGGGAGCTGCGCTGTCCGCCCGTCCGTCTGCCCGAGGCATTGCTGGAGTCAGCTTAGTAGCTGGTCGCTGCGGGCCCAAGTAAGTGGCAGTCGGTGGAAGGAGGGCGCAGGCCTGAGTGTCCGTGGAGTCGGCGCAGCGCAGAGCCGAGAGGCCTGCGCTCCTCGGCCCACACCGCTAGGCACTCGGCGGGGGCGGGGCGGCCCCGGGCGGTGGGCCTGGGACCCTGGCCTGCGAGAGGAGTGAGCCCCCAGCTCCGGGAGGCTTCCAGGGCCCTAAACACGGTCCTGAGCTGGAGAAGGCTGGGACCGGGGTTCCCAGTCCCAAGACAGAATATGGGGGGGTGCCATGGCCGAGGCCCCTGACCCCTGCCCACCACCTCCCAGCCCCAGGATGCTCCCCTTCGCCTCCTGCCTCCCCGGTTCACTACTGCTCTGGGCGCTGCTGCTGTTGCTTTTGGGGGCAGCGTCTCCCCAGGATTCCGAGGAGCCGGACAGCTACACGGTGGGGACAGTGGGGCCACTGGCCTGGGATGGGATGGGCAGGGATAGAGAGACCAAGATCCTGGGTGGCTGCTGCTGGGGAAGATTCTCCTTTCCCCTGGTTGGTGGAAGACCTGGACACCATTGTTTGGAGCAGGCCGGAGGGTGGTGGAGCTCAGGCCCTTGCCTTGGCCTGGCCCGTTGGAAGAAATCTAGGGTGATCAATGGCTACCTCTGGTTCCTTCCAGGAATGCACAGATGGCTATGAGTGGGACCCAGACAGTCAGCACTGCCGGGGTGAGTGTGCCTGGGGGACAAACCACCCCTAGGAACCGGGAAGGGAATTTCTGCTTCCCAAGGACACCGCCACCTCCAAAATCTGCAATAGGACCTCAGGGTCCTGTTCTCAGCCCAGTCCTGTTGGACCCAGGCTGATTCTGATTCCCTGGGAGCCAGCTCACCTAAGGCTGGCCCTTTCCTCTCCAAAAAACTCAGGAAATTCTGCCTCTACACCCCCCCCCCCCCAATAGACCAACCAGCAATAAGGCCCTGCCCAGAGGGGCCAGGTTGTGTACATCCTCTCTGAACCACTCTCTTGTGCCAGCTCTTTGTCCCATTGAAATCTGGGAGGACAGTGTCCATAGGGGTGGGTCAGAGGCCTGCAAATCTCTCTTGGTCCAAGTGAAAGCTAGAGAAAGGAGGAGAGTCACTTGGAGGTGGGAGAATGTGGGCAACAGTGGGAACAGCTGCCCTACCTCCAGCCCTGGCAGACCCTGGGGAGGGGTCCTGAGCAGGCAGCTTGGCTTGTTGAGTAGAGAGAAGGCCTTACCCAATCACAGTGCAAAGGTGACTATGCTAGGCTCCTTGCCTCCCACTCCCTCCAGGGCCAGCCCAGGAGACTGGCTGTGTCTAACAGGTCCCTCTCTGCAGATGTTAATGAGTGCCTTACCATCCCTGAGGCCTGCAAGGGAGAAATGAAATGCATCAATCACTACGGGGGCTACTTGTGCCTGCCCCGCTCAGCTGCTGTTATTAATGACCTACATGGCGAGGGACCCCCTCCACCAGTGCCCCCTGCTCAACACCCCAACTCCTGCCCACCAGGCTATGAGCCCGACGAACAGGAGAGCTGTGTGGGTGAGTGGAGGGCCACTCTGCATCCAGGCTTCCTTTCTTCTCAGCAAGCTACTTCAAAACTCAGACCTCATTTTCCTCCCTTGCTCAAAGACTCCTCAGGGAGCCATCCATATCCTCATCCACGTCCTCACCATGGCAGGCCCTGTGCGTGTCCCACTGTCCCGCCAGCCCCTGGGATCCTGCCTTGTTTCCTGCAGAGACATGCAAAAACTCTGCCTCCCAGTCTCTGCCCCTGCCTTCTTTTTGGTCTGGACCCCACCCCTGGGAGCCATAGGCCTTGTGGGAGGGAGGATCCTGGAGTCAGTGTTGCCCCAAGGAGGGTAGAGTATAGATGAGGTCTTGTTTCCTGAGCTTCCCTGATGGGTGTCATAGGTTAGGGGTGCCCCCACATGGACTCTTACTTGTGCTGCTTGGACAGTCTAATTCATCTGTTCCTCTTTTTGGGGTCACTCATCACCCATGTATCCATGTGAGTGGCATGTGGCTTGTGTCACCCTCCCAAGTTGAGGTGTCTCACTCATGTTTGATGGCATGTGGGATCTCCTGCAGATGTGGATGAGTGTGCCCAAGCTTTGCATGACTGTCGGCCCAGCCAGGATTGCCATAACCTTCCTGGCTCCTACCAGTGTACCTGCCCTGATGGCTACCGCAAGATCGGGCCTGAGTGCGTGGGTGAGTTCAGGGAGCAACCTTTCTCTGTGTCTCTGGCTTGGCTCTCTTCCTAGCACCTGACTCTCACCTGTCTCTTGTCCTAGCACCTGACCCTTATTCCAGCCCACCCCTAGGCCCCTGTCACCTGTGCCCTCCTGTTATCAGACACAGAAGATTGTATGTGGGTGTTTCCTGGCTGACACAATCCCCCTAGAAACAAATAGGACTATGGGTGCTGAGCCTTTAAGTCCCAGCCTGCTTGGGCCCCACCTGACTTCTGTGCTCTGCCCTCGTTCTCAGACATAGACGAGTGCCGCTACCGCTACTGTCAGCACCGCTGCGTGAATCTACCTGGCTCCTTTCGCTGCCAGTGCGAGCCGGGCTTCCAGCTGGGGCCCAACAACCGCTCCTGTGTGGGTGAGGCTGGGCCAGGCCAGGCTTCTGGGCAGGGAGGTGTGAGGTCAGGGAGCTTCCTTCCTGACCAGCCTAGGTGGAGTGGGGGCTCTGGACCATTCTTTGGCTTTCACCCTTCCTGTTTTTTCCTTCCTGGAACCTCTAGATGTGAACGAGTGTGACATGGGGGCCCCCTGTGAGCAGCGCTGCTTCAATTCCTATGGGACTTTCCTGTGTCGCTGCCACCAGGGCTATGAGTTGCACCGAGATGGCTTCTCTTGCAGTGGTGAGAATCCCACCCCTGTCCCAGCTCCTACATTGGTTCCCCAGGCCTTGCAGCTTTCTTTAATGTCCTATCTTCTGTAGCCACATATTTCCTATGTACTCTGGGCTAGGCTGGTGGGGAAGGCAATTAGGTCCCTACTGAAGTTCACTGGGGAAACAGAGAAGGATTTGGGTGCTACTCTTCCTGGGAGTCATGCCCACTTGGGTTTGAATCTGCACTAGGGCAAGTCACTCTTCTCTCCAAGCCTGTTTTTTCTATACAATGGGTTGTATGGAGGGTGAAGTCGGACAATAACAGGCTTCATCAAATCTTAAAAAGTGAACCATTTACTGAGAACTAGGCTGTTCTGGGCACTTTCCTCATATACTTGGCCTCGTTTCATCCTGTTTTCAATCATAGGAGGTGGGTATGATTTTTTCCTTTCTCCAAAATGAGGACATTAATCTCTCTCTCCAGGTTTGTGAGAGGATTGCAGAAAATAAGCATAAGTCCTGGGTAAACAGTGACTTTCATTTTCCCACTAAGAAATTAAGTAACTTGCGGAAGTTCACACAGCAAGGGTGAGATAGTGCCAGGGTTCTATCCTGGATTTCTCACTCCAGGTCACCTGGCATGGTCTCTGTTTATATTATGCTTCACTGTGGAATACAGCCTTGTTGGTACCTGGCAGCATGAGGGGAACAAAGCCAGAAAAATGGTGCCCTGCCTGTGTAGTTCACAGTGTGCAGAGGTGACTGGGTGCTTGGCCTGATTGTGGACTGCAGGAATTATCAGATAGATTATTGAAAACTAGAGCAGGCTGCACTTTCAGGACTTGTTTAACTGCTCATTTTATTGACAGGGAAACTGAAGTTCCCCCCAAATCAGTAGGATTCATACCCAAGCCTCCAGATTCCCAGGGTCCACCCCACTTATTGTACTTACAGTCCTGGGGTGAAGAGAGAGCTGTGAGCCAGAAGGCAGGAAGACTTTTCTTTTTTTCCTCTTTTTGGTGGTGCAGGGGATTGAACCCAGGATCTCACACATGCTGAATTCTTACCACAGAGCTATACCCAGACTTTTCTTTGAGCCCTCTATCTTCCTCTTGAGATCTGCAGAGCTTTTCTTGCCCTCTCTTCCCACACTCAGCCCAACTTGGGAATGGGCTCTCTCAGTACACCTTTGTGAGACTCAGTTATGAGGATGGCCTGAGTCCTCATCCCTGCCTTCCCTCAGATATTGATGAGTGCAGCTACTCCAGTTACCTGTGCCAGTACCGCTGTGTCAATGAGCCAGGCCGCTTCTCGTGCCACTGCCCACAGGGCTACCAGCTGCTGGCCACACGCCTCTGCCAAGGTACAAGTTCCCCGGAGGGGGGTGGGCAGAGTAATGTCAGGCCTGTGGCCTAAAGCCCGATTCTTAGCCCCTCTCTCTTGGCACAGACATTGATGAGTGTGAGTCTGGAGCACATCAGTGCTCTGAGGCCCAAACCTGTGTCAACTTCCATGGGGGCTACCGTTGTGTGGACACCAACCGCTGTTTGGAGCCCTATGTCCAGGTGTCAGACAAGTAAGTGAGCTCAATGCACTGCCTTTACAAAAACTACAACTCCCAGAGGGCTGTGGAGCAGACTGGCATCTTATTGGACTGGTGAGTGCCCCTGAGGACTGGTGGGAGTTATAGTCTTGTATCAGAAGTAGGCAGAGCCTCTTGGGAGTCCCTCCTTTCCGGGTTGGGCAATTTTGGGGGATGGGCCAGGAGCTCATTCATATTCCCCCACCTGGGGGGTCTCCAGCCGCTGCCTCTGTCCTGCCTCCAACCCCCTGTGTCGGGAGCAGCCTTCGTCCATCGTGCACCGCTACATGAGCATCACCTCAGAGCGGAGCGTGCCGGCAGATGTGTTCCAGATTCAGGCGACCTCTGTCTACCCTGGCGCCTACAATGCCTTTCAGATTCGTGCTGGAAACTCACAGGGGGACTTCTACATTAGGGTAAGGCTCTCCTCTGTTCCTACCCCTCAACTGACATGCATACTCCAAAATGGAATTCCAGGAAGCCCTCAACAGAAACTAGATTGTACTTATGCCCAGACTCTCCTCTCAAAAGCTCCCCGTTGGGAGGTAGGACTTCTTGGGAAGCCAGGGGGCATTCTACATTCCTAAGGTATAAATTGTAGATGTTAAAGGCAATTCTAACAGGCCCTCAGGCACTGGGGTTTGAGACCTTGGGACTGGTTTTCCTATTTGGCCACAATTTCTTCACCCATGAAAATAGGACAGTGGCAGAGTTTTGTGAAGGGGTCCAAAAATCCATCTCTGTTAAGCTGTAGGGGTGGGGGTCTATGTGTGGCTCACTGTGAACAGTGAGAGGGTCTCAGACCCACGGTCCTCGTGCTGTATTCAGCACGATGAGGTGTTTGGTGTTAAGAGCTTTTCTTTTTTGAAACTGATTGCTTTGAAGGGGAATCTGCCTGCTCTGGATCACCAGAGGTCCCCATCAGTTTCAAGTCACACCTGGTCTTGAATCATCAGTGTGAACCCTTGTTACGTAATTTTACCTAAAACGGCAGGGAGAGGAGAATCTGAGGGCAGGGTAAAGGAGAGAGGAGACAATCAGGGTATCAGAGCCAGATGAGAACCTGGGTTATAGCCTGATGGCCAGGACTGTCTCCCCACCTCTCAGCCAGAGGGAGGGAGGTGATGCTGGGGTAGGGTCCTGGCACATGGGCTGACACAGTCTACATCTCCTGCCATCCACTGTGCCCTGCAGCAAATCAACAACGTCAGCGCCATGCTGGTCCTCGCCCGGCCAGTGACGGGCCCCCGGGAGTACGTGCTGGACCTGGAGATGGTCACCATGAACTCCCTCATGAGCTACCGGGCCAGCTCTGTACTGAGACTCACCATCTTCGTGGGGGCCTACACCTTCTGAGGGGAGGGACCTGCAGCAAGGGAGAAGGAGGAGCTACCCTCCCTGCAGCTCCCTGTAGCCAAGGAGCTTGGGACTCAGGAATGACTGTTCTGCTAAAAGGGAGATATTGTGAAGGGCAGAAAGAGAAAGGCAATAAAGGGAGAAAGAAGGAGTCCTGGTGGCTGAGGTGGTGGGTAACCTCAGCCTGGAGGAGGGGCTGGGCTTATGGGAGGCAGGCCAAGCCTACCTAAAGGGGGATGGGGGCTCTGTGTTCAGGCTGAGGGGCTCCACTGATGGGAGCTGGGAACTCTGTCACAGGCTTCAGTCACCCTGAGGGAGAAGAAGGTAATAAGGCATGCAGATCCTGGGCCCCAGCTGAGTTTTAGATCTGGCTGAGAAACCCTGGTCCAGACAGTAACAGAATGCCCAGGGTTCCAGTCCTAGCTGTGCCTCAAATTAGGTATGGAACAAGTCCTAGGTAGCTTCCTGGGCATGTTTTCTAATCTATAAAATTAGGCAACCAGTGGGTAGTTTTTCATCTTTTCCAACTTGCAGAACCTCTTACCAAAGGAAATTTTGTATGGTCAGGGGCCATCTGATTATACAGATTCAAAATTGCAATGCCCCACTGACTCCATCTCCCTAACCAGGGAACTCCAGGTCCTGAGAAGCTTGCTTTAAAATACACTAGACAGGCTGGTGGTGTAGTTTAGTGGTAAAGTGCTTGCTTAGCACTTGGGAGGCCCTGGGTTCTACTCTCAGCACTGCATAAGAAAAATAAGAAAAAAAAAAAAAAAAAACAACCCAGGATCATATGGTTTCATCTACTTGCTGCATATTTTACAAGGGCCCTGGAGCCTAGTGTCGCCTCCATAATACATAAGTCTGCAAACACATCAAGATTTTTATTGTAGCCCCAAAAGTCCTGGTTAAAAGGCTGGGTAGTTTGGGGGGAGGGGAGCCAGATGGCTTCTGGCTCTGGTTGCAGTTCAAGTCAAGGGGCTGTAGGTGCAGTAGAGCTGAGATAAAGTCCTGCTCAGAACAGGTCCCAGATTCCTACAGGAAGAGAATGGCAGGGTTGGCTGGGATCTAGCATGACCCAGGCCCCAGACTCCCTCAGATTCTCTCCCACTCTCACCTCTGCAGACGCCCACACTTGATGGTGCTCAGCAGCATCTCCTGCTCCTTGGGGGTGGCACAGGCATCATAGGCAGCCAGGAGGCTGGGGATGGGGTATTTGATGGCTGACTATCTGAGCCAGCACAATGAGAACTGAAGCAGGAATAGGGTCAACCTGGGGTGGGGAGATCAGGACACAGCAGACTTCCTGTGCCTGGCATTTTGGTTCTGCTCCATCCTGCCCTGCCCCCTTCCTGGGAACACTGGGACAGAAGTAGCAAAAGCCCCCCCCCCCCCCCAGCCCCTTCCTCCAGGAAGCATTCTCTGCTGCACCCTCCCCCATATCTGGGACATCATCCAGTCCTGGCTGACCAACCTCCATAAGCAACCCTGGGTTCAGCTGAATCTGCCCAACTCTGGCTCTGCACAGTCCAATGGAGCCAGGCCCACTCTCCAAAAGCACAGGTTAAGCTATATTCCATGCAAGGAGGGCAAGGGCTGAGGACCCCTAGAAGGCCATCCAGGGATGTACCTGGCAGGGGTGCTATATCGGTCCACCAGGGCTGCTGCCTTCTCCCCACTGATTCCACGAACCTGCATCAGCTGCCTGGCGAACACCTCACGCACAGACTGGGCCTGAGGTTGAGGAAGGCATGTGTCAGGTGGTGGGGGCCAGGATGCCTAAAGAAAAACTGGGCAGAGGCAGTACCTTGTTCTTGATGGCTCCTGTGTTGAAGTCACTGAAGGTGAGGAGTGAGCAGAGTGGGCTTGGGGAGGGCCTGGCCCCCGACTCAGGGTCCCCTGGGGTTCCCCAGGGACGGCTGCGTAGGGTGTGTCCCTGAGGGAAGAGGGGACTAAGGCCAGGCTAGAGCTCTAAGGGTCAGCCCCCAGCAGTCTTTCCCAGTCCTAGGCCTCAGTGAGCCAGCCCTTCCTCCTTGGGGAAGCAATGGCCCAGGTAAGGGACCAGTTGAGACAGGTGCATCTGCTTACCTGGTAGAGTCTCTCCAGGCCCCTTGTCAAAAGGGCAAGGTAGGCAGCTGACTCCTTAATGTCTACTGTGCGCTTCACAAAGAAGCCATCAATGACCTGGTGAAAAGGACCCACAGGAAGTGGCAGATCCTGGCCTGAACCACCATAGACCATATCCCCTGAAAGCCTGGCCCTGCCTTGTGGCTTACCTGGGTGTTGGTGACAGCCTGCAGCAGTGTGCTCTCAGGAAGGCTAAGGTTGTGGACTGAGCCATACTCCTCCACCAGGTACACCCGATGCCCCAGACCACAGCGCTTTAGTCGGAACTAGGGAGGAAGACAGAGGAGCAGACGGTTAGGCCTGTAAGCCCATGTGCTTGGGCTGTCCATCACGTCACATTTGTGTGACTGTCTCACCAGTTAGCCTCCTCATCTTTGCTATCTCAGAGAGCCTCTACACCTGAGCTTGTGCTGTGACTTGTGGGAAAGCCCTTCTCTGTTTCTGAAACTGCCCATCCTTCAAGACTTCCTTGGGTTATGTGGCCTCTGATCTAGGATCAGTGTAGCAGCAGGGACCAAGGCACAGCCTCTGCATTTCTATTTGCAGACATTTGGGCCCTGTTTAACCAAGACTGCAGGGGCTGGGTACAGAGGGGGTCTTTAACGTGCTCCTTGGCCCACCTAAGAATCCTCCATTCTCACTATATTCCTGGTGGCCTGAGGGGATCTGAACCTGGGGCTGCCTACAGCAGCTTTAATGGGGCGTGGCTGCATGCCATGAGGGCTCTGCCTTGAGAACACCCAGCAGTGCTCCCCAGCTGCCTTTGGGCTGAGGCAGTGACCCTGGTGCAGGCAGAAAAAGCAAGGCAAGGACATCCAGCAAAGGAACCTTCTGCTCCCGGAAGCGGCCGTCGATGATGCTACTGCACAGGTCATCCAGGCGCTTGCGCTCCACAATGTGATCCAGGACTAACTCTCCAGGTCTGGCTGCCAAGAAGTCAAAGAACCCATTGGCTTGTGTCCCACCTCTCTCCCCAAGGCCTGCCTCTAATGCCTGCCCATCCACAGCCATTTACCTGGGTCTCTGGGCCTGGTCTCCTGTGCCACCCACACAAAATCCCCAACGTGCAGCTTGCGCACTGTATGGGCCACATGCATCCGCTGTAGCTCTCGGAGCAGCTCTTGCCTATGTCCTGCCCTGAAATAACAGGGAGGGAGACCAAGATCAGTCCAGTACGCTCTACCCTACAGCATCTTCTGATCATCTTCATGGATTTTCCCCCCTCTACTTACCCCCTGGTCTCGCTGATGTCCACACACAACAGCACCCTGTACTCTCTAGGCCTCAGCTCCAGCAGTGGCTGATGGACCCCTCCTTCACTGGCACCACTATGGAGGGGGGTGCTCTATGTGAGGCTAGAACTCCCAGTGCCAGGGCATCCCCCTACAACCCATAGAAGGTAGGACAGCAGGTGTAGATCATGGAGATAAGGGTGTGGTGTTGGCTTCATTTCTGCCCCGCCCCCCCTTTCCTCCTCACAGCTCAGCTGAGGCTGCTCCTGGCACTGCTGACTCCTCCCCACAGGGCTTCTCAGGTCCAGTGCCCACATTCAGTAAGCTCAGGCTTTCTGACTCAGCCAACTTCTGGGCCAGCTCCAGGCCCTCTGGGGTCAGTGAGTACCTGGGAGGTGGAGGAGACAAATATAGCTTTCCCTTCTTCACTCACATCTGGCAGGCTGTCACCCAGCTAGGCGGGCCTCTCTCCATCTTGGCAGCCCTGTACAAAAACAAGTCCACTGGCTCCCTGTCTTCTCGTCTCTCAGATCAGTTTCCTGGGGGCCTAGATACTGTTATTTGCCCTGTGTAATACATGTCACAGGCAAAAACTCTTTTCTCCTCGTTTGCTCGTTCTGTTCCCTCCTACCTATGAGTCCCCTCCCAGGTTTTTTTTTTTTTTTTGCCCTGGGAATTGAACCCAGGGACACTCTACCTCATTCCCAGCTTTTTAAAATTTGAGTCTGCCTCTTGCTAAATTTTAGAGTCTCACTTCAACCTACCAAGTACTTAGGATCTCAGAAAGTGGGATATGGTGGTGGAGGCCTATCAGCCAGATTTTAATACATGCCATGCCTGTAATCTTTTTTTTTTTTTTTTTAAAGAAAGAGTGGGGGGGAGAGAGAGAGAATTTTTTAATATTTTTATTTTTTAGTTCTCGGCGGACACAACATCTTTGTTTGTATATGGTGCTGAGGATCGAACCCGGGCCACACGCATGCCAGGCGAGCGCGCTACCACTTGAGCCACATCCCCAGCCCCCATGCCTGTAATCTTAATAACTCCAGAGACTGCGGCAGGAGAATCAGAAGTGCAAGGTCAGCCTCAGCAACTTAGAGAGGACATGAACTACTGAGTAACACCCTGTCTCAAAATAGATGCAATAAAGTAAAAAGGCTGGGGGATGTAGCTCAGTGGTAAAGACCCTCTGGTTTAATTCCCACTGCCAAAACCAAACAAGAAAAGCAAATTTTAAGACATGCTAAGTGCCCTCTCCTTGGCAAAGGCTTTCAGCTCCTGTAACAACTCTGGCACCCATCCTCCATCCCCTCCTGCCCCCAGTTGCTCACATGCTCCTGGTACTCCAACAGTGTGGGCTCCTTTGTTGGTTTGATACTGGAGACTGAATCCAGGAGAACTTTTCTACTGAGCTACATCCCTAACCCTTTTTATATTTTGAGACAGGGTCTCACCAAGTTGCCGAGGCTGGCCTCGAACTTGCAATCCTCTTTTCTCAGCCTCCCAGCTTAGTGTAGGCTCCTTGTGGGAAAGGCCAGTCTTTCCCTGCCTCAACAGCAAATTGTGCAACTGTAGGGACTCACCAAGAATATCACATGTATCCTGTCCCTGCCTCCTGTATTCCCTGAAGCTGGTCTCACCTGGCTGGCTGGTGTGTCCTGAGGACCAGGTTCCTATGCAGGAGGGAACGAAGAGCTGGCCAGGATTGAGCATTCCCAGGGACTACCTGTTGATAGAGAAAGAGACCCTCAGAGAGCCTGTAGTGCTACAAATCTAAGCTGGCTCCAGGTGCTGGCCAGGACCCATGCCACTGCTCACTGCCATGAAGTGCAGTTTGATGGGCTCCATCTGTCTTCCTCCACCTTGGTGCTCACCTTGAGGGTCTTCTGGGCACACCTCTGCAGCAGTTCCTCCTTGGTTAGGAAGCTGCGGCCTGCGGGATTCTTAAACAGAAACAACAGGGTAGGTTCAGTGCTGAGGCTCCTCCTCATTCTGCCAAAGTGACAGGGATGTTCTCTGCCCACCTTAGCCAGAAAGGCACTTCCAGGAGCCTCCCCTCACCCCCACTGCCTCTACTGGCTATTACCAGTGTGGCCAGGCACTAACCAAGTGTTCCTGGTAGAGCTCCAGCAGAACTGCTCGGGCTCCTGAGTGCCGAGCTGGCCAGTAGCCACCTGAGCCTCCTGCTTGGGGCTGGGCAAGAACCTGAAAGGAACATAGGGACTCTGAACACAAATGCCGGCAAGTCACTGTCGGCTCATTTCCTGGCATGGCTGTTTCAGCTGACTTCATGGTGCTGAGCAAGTCCCTCAATTGCCTCCAGTTTTCTTGAATGACCCCCTGCAAATCTGGATGGGACAGTGCAGAGTTGCAGAGCAGGGGGCAGCTGCCTGGCCCAGCCTCAGTTCTGCCACCCACTGCAGAGCAGGAACACCAACAGCAGCCCCATTACTTCCTGGGCTGGGCCCCCTTAAATAGCTTAGTTAAGGAATTCCCTCTACAGCTGTTGTCAATATTCCCATTGCAGGTAAAACACAGTCTCAGAGAAGATAAGTCATTTGCCCCAGGCCAGGCATCACCCATGAGATTTGGACTCAGGCCTATTAACATTCTCAAATCAAGAAATCCTACTCGCAGTACTCCCATTTCGTTTCCCAGTCCCCTTGCCGTTTCCTCACTGGCATGGAAGAGTCCTGGACATGGGCAGGTGACCCTTTCTGGATTGGACGCATCTCTCCAGATGATGAGCCAGAAGCTGGGTTATCTGTGGGAACAAAAGAAAACGAGTCCCGCATCACAGTAATCTGGCAGTCGCGAGGTCTGGGATGCAGTCTGCTTGTGTATGTGAGTGCCAATCACTAGCCCCAAGTCAAACAGCAACTAGGACAGGAGTTGGGAATCTCGAAACTTAAGTATTCAAGATAGAGGCTGCACCTGGGGGAAACGGAGGATCTTCCCATTCCTGCCGGAGGCGATCACCACCTGAAGCTAGGTGCTGCTGCAGCCGCTCATCTAGCATACGACAGAGCCCATCTCCGAAGTGCTGGAGTATCTTAGCTTCCCTCCCGCTTTGCAGGGGCAGAGGGTACCGCCTGAGGGAGCGCAGCGCCTGGCAGGGGTAGGGGAAGGGAACTAGGTCAGGATAGGTCAGGTCGTCTGGTTCGGCCAGCACCTGTTCCCAGTCGACTGGAACCCACCTTCTGAAACACGAAACGCGTGCGACGCCCCCTGCTGGCCGCCTCATCCCGCCACTCGGTCAGCCAGCGTACGAAAAGCGGGTTGGGGCAAACCGGCAGCGGCCGTTTTCGGCCCAGGCGGACCGGCGCCGCCATGAGTCCCAGGGCGGATCCTCTGGCGCCTCGAGCCCGTGAGACTGGGGCACCTCCAGTTCTGGGGTCGGGACTGGAACACCTGGCTGGGGGTAGTGTGAGGGCGGGACCTGTCTAATCACGTGGCCCCAGAGGGTAACTAGCTGGAGGGTAGCCTCCTGCCGCCCTCCCCGCCCCTGCACTACTCGAAGCGACTAACTGGAGAGCGGTCACTATCACCTTTCGCTTAAGCTGCCTCCCCTCCCCCAGTCCAGGATCAGCCTTCAGGACCCGCCGTCTCCAGGCCTTGGAGCCTTGATACGCCCCTTCCTCCCACCCTTCTCCAATGAGTGAGCAGGGGCATCTTGTGCAAGCAATAGGAAGACCGACAGCGCCTCCTGCGACTGGGAGGGCAGACTGAGCCGGCGCTTAACGGAGCAACCTTAATTTGGCTGCTCCAAGGTCTGAATTTCAGCTTCACCTTTGCAAAGGAGGTTGGACAGAGACTGGACTTGAAAAGATTTGTAGGGGGTGTGGGCAAGTGAGTGTAATTATATTTGTGGGAGGGACATCTAGGAAGGTGTGCAAGGGATGAGGACCCAAGGGTAAGGCAGAAAGAGCAAAGGATGAGGAAATAGTGATCCGGAGCCGAGGGACCCTGCGTGTGCGGCGTGTGGGTGTGACTGGGGCTGCGAAGTCGGGGATGTGCACAGAAAGCCCAAGCTAGGTGGACCGAGGGAGAGGAAAAGTAGGAGAAAGACATTAAGAAAGAGATGCCGCCAGTCCTGGCAAGTAAGTGGGGAGGCCTCAGGTGGGCACGTGGTCGGATCTCGCGTAGCCGGCTGTAGACAAAGGTAGAAAAGAACACTCGTCACTTCTGTGGCTCATTCGAAGTGGGGGATCCTCGAGTGGACTGAGGACCCTTAAAAGAGGTTCCGGGTTGACGGACACTTACAATGGAGCAGGACACGGGTTGAAGAAACCCCTCCCGCTCCCCGCCCAGGCCTCTAGCTATCTTGCCGGAAGTCGGGAGGTGCGGGCCTGCTAGGAGAGAGGCGGGCGCCAGAGCTCAGGTCCGCCCTTCAGACTCCGCCTAGCCAGCGGTGTAGCATCCCCAGCAGGCTCCCGACTCCCGCCTCCCTCCCCACGAGGCCTTATAAGGAGCCTGAAGTCGGCTTTCGGCCTGGCCCCACCCCCTTTGGTCTCTTGTCCTAATAAGGACATCTAGGGCATCCCGCGATCGGGGGCGGGCGGAGAGCTCTCCAGGGTAACTGCGAAGCCCCCTCCCCCTCCTCGTTGCTCTGGGAAAATGCTAATTTCTAAAAAGGTGGTGCTAGTAGCCTCTTGAAGCGCCCCCGCTTGGGGGAGGCGGAGTCGAGTTACCGCCTCTACCTGAAGCTCCAGGAGTTTGGCCCGTCGGCGGTGCGTTTGGGTGTCCCCGACTACAACCCCCGGCATGCTCTGTGAGGTACCCCATTCCCTGGCACTGTTCTCCATTTACACTCTTTATTCTGCTAATGGGATTAAGGTCGCCAATTCCCCTTGCTTCTGACATGTTCGCGACCTTGCCTTCTTTTCCTGCAGAATGTGAAGTCATGGCCATTGTTCTAGGCTAACGAAAATTTCCCAGAGCTTCCCACTCTAGTTTACCCTTAAGGTCCTGCTCCTTTTTGCGAGTATCAGAATAGCCATAACCCTATGAACTAGGTTCAAATCTAGCTTGGTATCTTTCCCCTCTTCTCCCTATATGGTGAAAGGCACACGAATTCTTGAATGCACAAATCCTCGCCTCCCCTCTTTATTGCCTAATGGATTTTACAAACATCTTTAAGCAAGAACAAAGCTCCCCTTTCAAATTTTTCCTAATGGCCTTTCTCCCTCCTATTATTTTGTTGAAGTTGCATATGACCTTTCCTCCGGAGACCACAGTGGCTTCGCATACGAAAGGTACTCAAATATTTATTTAGGACACCTTTATACTTGCGATTCTCCTTGCTTTAGGACGAGATTCCAGGCCAATGAATAGTTGCTTCAATTCAGAGAAGCAAAATTCTATTCCAGATAAAAACTTAAGACTAAGGGATTCAGAAAGTGACAGATGGGTCGTAGAAAAACCGTTTCACTGGGGAACGGTTTAGTAGGGAAAGGTTTTCAGGTCATTTTACGCAGCGCCGGGACTATAGCTCAGATCAGAACGTTTCCTGGGAAATTCCACCAATGGGCTCACTTTCCGCGCCATGTCTCCGCCCCTTCAGCTGCCTCGGCCTACATTTCCACGCATGCACTGCGGAGCAGGGTGGTGGGCCATGCGACAGACTATTACCCAGAGAACCCCACGACGGCGCAGGACCCTTGGACTCCATTTCCCGTCGGCCCGCTCGGGGAGCGCCGGAAGCTCGCCCCGCCCCTCATTGTGCGGCTCCTACTAAACGGAAGGGGCCGGGAGAGGCCGCGTTCAGTCGGATCCCGGCAGCAGCTGCGGCGGCTCTCGTCTTCGTAGGCTCTTCTTGTCGTCTTCCTTTCGCTTCCGGAAACATGGTGAGCGGCAGGTCACGGTGCCCGAGGGGAGGCGGCTGCGGATCGGTCGCTTGGGCGCGGGGGTCACCGGGGATTGATGTCGGCAACCCCTCCCCCAGCGCCCCAGGCGGGATGAGGGTCTCGCACTGAGGGGCGGGCGGCGCTGGTCCGCGCGTGCGCGCCCTTGGGAGCGAGGAAGGGCCGGCTGGGACGTCGCTCGCGCGCCCCCTGGACTCCTTTCCCCTCCCCCATCCGCTGGTGCGCCCGCGCGGACACCGGGCGTGGGGGAGGGGGCTCGCGGGTACGCGCCCCTCGCGAAGCAGCCGGCGTAGCGCGTTTCACGAGGGCGCGCCCCCCGCAGAGCACGCGGCGTCCAAACCCGGCCCGGGGGCGGCCAGAGAAAAGCGCGCGAGAGGTCTCGGCGCGCGCGCCCCACCCAAGGGCTGTTCCTTTCTCCTCGTTACCCTCCCTCGGCGGGCGGGTCTGTCTCGGGAGCAGGTGGCAGGGAATGCCGGCTCCGGGGAGAGGCGGGGGCGCGGTGCCTAGGGGGATGCTATGTCGACGGTGTCCTGTTTGGGGCGCCGGGCCGACGGTTAGGGGCTTGCACTGTAAGGCTTGGAGTGGATCTTAGAGGCCGTGGACCTACTCGGGAGCGAGCGAGCGCGCACTGCGAACTGGGTTTTCGCCTGTACCGCCGGCCAGCGTTGGAACAGCACTGTCGACCGGCCGGCGCGTGCGCATACATTCAAGCCTGTCCACCGGGGCTGAAAGCTCCGGACAAACGGGCCTTTGGCTTTGCCGGATGGGGCCTGAGGGTGGAGCCGAGTTTAGGGAAGTGACCCAGGCGGGCACCGCCCGGAAACCGTTCCGCCCCCTATATTTTGCCCGAAGGCTTCGAGAACTAAGGCTTGTGTATGCTCCCAGATTACAGCCTGTAGCTGACAGGCCTACAGTCCCGTCCTTAAAGGCGCTTTCTGGATGTTGAGGTCCTGGAGGTGCCACTGCCTTTCCCGAACGGGTTTCTCTCGGGGAGGGGGCCGGACCTAGCCCATCTCTTCTCCGCCTACTCCGGAAGTGGCCGAGTCACGTGGCCAGCTTCCGCTGCCGTTCCGTGGGGGGGGGGGGCGGATTTCGCCAGGGACAGTCGCTGCCTCTCCTTAGAGCTTCCTCTAGTACGATCCAGCATAGTTTAAAGAGGGCTCGAAGATGCTGGGAACTAGAGTTATGCCTGGTATTAGCAACTCTGGGTCCCAGAACCACTCCTGGAGGACAGAGAGTTGTCCAGCAGGATCCTAATTGGGAGTTAGAATTCCTTTCTTGTTTGGGGAAGATCTCTGAAGGGAAGAGTGTCGTTTTGTAATAACTGCATAGAGCCGTTCTGATGGGCTTGCCAAAACTAACTGTATACCTGTTGGTGACCCATCTGGAGTGTTGTAGGATCTTGGTTTCCTCTTTGAAGAGGAGACTAGGACCCAGGTGTTTGGTCCTTCTGCCTGTGAAGTTCAAAGGCATCCCTTTATCCAAAGACTGAGATGGAGTACCAAGAGTAGGAACCAAACTCTTAGCCCATGGGTTTTTTTAATTCTGGGTTCACAGTGCAGCCAAGGCTTTGCTTTTTACAGGTTTCCAGTTGCTATCCTATAAGATGGGAGACAGGGGATTTTGAACTAGGTAACTGAAGGTCTTTTCCATGGCTGCCATGCAGTGGTTGTATGTATTTGGTTTTTTGATGGTAACTTGAGTGGGAAAGTAATGACTTGCCTTGGAAAGGGAATTAGTGAGCCCTTGAGACTAGGGCTAAGGATTGTACTTGGCATCCAGACAGAGATTTCTTGAGAACAAAAAGGAGGGACTGTAAGGAGCAGTTCTACAGAATTCTTTTTCTTATGAGGTGTGTCTGGTTTCATTTCTCAGGCTTCTGGTGTGGCTGTCTCTGATGGCGTCATCAAGGTATTCAATGATATGAAGGTACGCAAGTCTTCAACGCCAGAGGAAGTGAAGAAGCGTAAGAAGGCAGTGCTCTTCTGCCTGAGTGAGGACAAGAAGAACATCATCTTGGAGGAGGGCAAGGAGATCCTGGTAGGTGATGTGGGCCAGACTGTGGATGATCCCTACGCCACCTTTGTCAAGATGCTGCCAGACAAGGACTGCCGCTATGCCCTCTATGACGCTACCTACGAGACCAAGGAGAGCAAGAAAGAGGACCTGGTGTTTATCTTCTGGTGAGCTTCTCATTCAGGCAGTTTTGTCTTCTCCTTTCTCAGAAGAGCTTGACTTTTGTCTTACTAGTTAGAGGGGATTTGGAGGAGGGTTTGTAAAATAACACTTGTTAGTGGGGAACTTGACAAACTTCCTCAGTGCTGGAGGTTAGCTCAAGTGTTTCTCTGGGTTGTGCAGAGCCTGAGGGCAGTTGGTGGCAAGTTTCCTGACTCTTGGTTTGTCTCTAGGGCCCCTGAATCCGCACCCCTTAAGAGCAAAATGATCTATGCTAGTTCCAAGGACGCCATCAAGAAGAAGCTGACAGGTAGAGACCACAATGTGTACTTTTCTGTATCGGCTGCAGGTGGGGTGAATGACATGGCAAGAGGGGGTTTCCCCTCCCATCTTCACTCCTGTTGGGCGGTTTCTTATCTCGTCCATCTGCTCTTGATTTCTCTTCCCAGCCACAGAAACCCCCTACCCCAGTGCTTCCTGTTCACAGATGCTCTTTTTTATTCCCCACAGGGATCAAGCACGAATTACAAGCAAACTGCTATGAGGAGGTCAAGGACCGCTGCACCCTGGCTGAAAAACTGGGGGGCAGTGCCGTCATCTCTCTGGAGGGCAAGCCTTTGTGAGCCCCCTCCAGCCCCCTGCCTGGAGCATCTGGCAGCCCCAGACCTGCCCTAGGGGGTTGCAGGCTGCCCCCTTCCTGCCAGACCGGAGGGGCTGGGGGGATCCCAGCAGGGGGAGGGCATTCCCTTCACCCCAGTTGCCAAACAGCCCCCCCACCCCCTGGACCTTCCTCCTCCCTCCATCCCTGACGGTTCTGGCCTTCCCAAACTGCTTTTGATCTTCTATTCCTCTTGGGTTGAAACAGACCAAGTCTTCCCCCAGGCACCCAGTTTTGGGGGGGGGCTGTATTTTTTTTAACGACACCCCTATTTCCCACCTGTTCCTCCCTCATCCCATGCTGCCAACTTCTAACCGCAATAGTGACTCTGTGCTTGTCTGTTTAGTTCTGTGTATAAATGGAATATTGTGGAGATGATCCCTCCCTGTGCCGGCTGGTTCCCCTCCCTTTTCTCTTGGTCTTGACCATTCATGGAAGCAGGACCAGTAAGCGACCTTCAATTAAAAAACAAAAAACAAGACAAAAAAAAGACAACAATAAAAAGGCTTGTTAATGCCGTGTTTGTTTTAGTTGAGGCTTGGCGGAACTTGGCAGGGGGGTGTACTGAAAGGAACAGCCTCTCTCCTCTGCACCCCACCCCCTTGTCTTCCTGATGACTTTCCAAGACTCCCTTCTAATAGTTGGTGCTCTTAATGTTGCAATTGTTACCAGGTGGGTGGCAGAGCCCATGGTGTGTCTGCTATTAATGCAGGGACACTAACAGAAATAGCTTCACACCAGAATTAGTTGCCCCTGGAGCCTTATTGAGGTGGAGTGTCCCTGGTCTGGTGTGGGTTGCAGTGCAGGTTACAAGTGCTCTGTTGAACTACTTTGTCCACGCTCAAAGTTCTCTTGGGTTATCTTTCCTCTCTCGCCTCATCCTTAGGATGGCTGATTAACATAATTTATGAGTGCTGTGTTGAGTGGCTGTTCTGAGTCAGAAAGCTAAGTTAAGCCTTTGGCCTTCTGTAGATTTGGCTGGAGTCCATGCAGGGTGGGGCCAGCCAGGTGGAGCCCAGGACTTCAGACTCAGGTGTCTGTAGCCCCACCTCTCTGTATATAACCCAAGGTCCTTGGCCTCTTGCCAGCATTGTTGTGGGCTCTTTCCAGCCTACACTTTGGGCTTTCACTGCCTAACAGGCACAAATAGCTAAGAAGCCTGGCCCAGGGCAGAGTGAATTGAGGTAATATGAAGTTTAAAACTACCCCAATCTAGCTGGGGGCAGTGGCATGTGCCTATACTCTTGACAACTTTGGGAGACCCCAAAAGGGGCTGGGGGTAGCTCAGTGGCATAGAACTGTCAAATCCCCAGGACCAATAATAATAGTAATAATACCCTAATTGGCTGGAGTGAGAGAAGGAAAATTCTGGAGTTAATGCCATTCCTTAACTTTGCAAGTTCTGGGAGGGAGGCTGGAAATGTGGTTACATTTTCTTGGTCAAGAAAATATGATTGGTCTGAAGTATGGTCTTTCCTAGGATTTGTGAGGCAAACCTTGGCTGTTCTGGGTCTTACAGGTTCCTTTGAAGAGCCTGATACCATCCTGCCCTGTCCTAAGGTGTGCCTTGAGCTGTGAGAAGCAAAGACAAGTAGGTCCCCTTGTTGCAAAGTCAGGCTCTTTATTAAGAACGGAGGTGGGGCAACAGTGTCTAATGAACTTCAATGATGGGAAAGTTGGATTCAGGATGAGGCTATGGCTGGGTGACCATTTTTAGGGGAGGAGGGATTGAGGCCCTTATTATTTAAGGTCCCAGGGCAGGGTCTGGCTGCTGAATCTCCAGAACAAGGGTTTTCTGGAGGAGTAGGGTGCTGACCTGCAAAGGAGAGATCCTTTAATTTCCCTACTCCTTCCTTAGGCTGGGAGCTTTCCTTTCCACACCTCAGCTTTTGGGCCCTTTCTACAGGGATGGGTCCTGGCCCAAGATGGGGCTGCTAACAGGCCACCTGACCCCCCTGCCCAACACAGGCACACACTTGGGAGAAGCTGGGGGCTCTCACCTTCGCATGTTTGAGTTCCAGCTCTTACCAACTCCATGAAGTTTTTGTGGAAAGAGGAGACCCAGCAGGATCTGAAGTCCACAAGCTCTTGCAAGGCGGAGGAGGATTGGGAATAGGCAGTGTAGCTGGGTAGCAGTTTGGGGACTATGGGCTGTGGGGATCACTCTGCTTGGCAGAGTCAGGCAGTCAAATCACTGGCAACACAGCTGCTGGTGGTTCTCAGCTGGCCGTCTCCCAGTTCCTGGTGCATGCTTTATCCAAATCCTTACTGGCATTCTCATGGTTGCCTGTAGCTGCTGGTACAATAGGTCCTACAGCCACCAGTCACAGGGTAACCACTGCTCACAGCCTTTGCCTGCCCACCCTCCCCGCACTGACTTCCAGCTCTGAGGGTGCCTTGGGGCCGCGCCTGACCTAGACTGTCCATGAATATGTAATATCTTAGCATGTCTGACAGGCCACCTGGCCCTCCAACTTGTACATCAGGTTGGTGGGGACTGGGAAGCAAGTTCTCCAAAAGGGCAGCTAAGGTGTGGGAGACCCCCTCTTCCTCAAAATATCCAGCAGAGACTCACTTGGTAACCACTACAGGTCAGAAAGCCCTGATGCTCAAGGGAGCCAGCCAGGGAAGACTTCAGAGTGGAAGTGGTCTCTGATCTGGGCCTTTGCAATGGAGTTAGCCAGACAGAGGCAAAGGCTCTGCAGATGTGCAAGCTTGGTATGTGTCAGAGGACCATAGGTTGGGGGGGCGGGCATGTTGGACAAAGCTGGGAAAGGCAGCAGTGGCCTGATCACAAAAGGCTTGAAAGTTAAGTTTAAGGGTCTGGGGTGGTAGCTCAGTGGTACAGCCCTTGCCCAGCATGCATGAGGCCCTGGGTTCAATCCCAGCACCACATAAAAATAATCAAAATAAAGGTATTGTTTCCATCTACAACTAAAAGTATTAAAAGAAAAAAGTTTAGAGGCTTTGTATCTTGGGTAGGTTCTGAAATGGGGAGGGCCCCTGTGCAGGCCTCAGGTGGGGAAGAGATGAAGTCCAAAAGAAGAAAGGTTGACATACTCCAGTGACTTCCTTGGAGAAGAGTTCAGGAAATGTATCTAGGCAGGATGTTAGTGGCTCATGGTAGCCTGCCAGAGGCACGTGGCACATCCTTGTGCCTTACCAAGCGGACTTCCTACCCTTCCCTCATTTCTCACACACCCTTGAGGATGGATCCTTGCTTTCATTCCACATCTCATTACACTAGTCTAGTGGGAGTCCAGAGTGCCACCAGGCCCACCTATCACTAATGTTTCAAATTGGCCCTGCAGCTTTGCCCTCTCCCAGGACTCCTCTTCCTGACAGAGGCTCATTGTGGAAGCCTTTGAGCATACAAGGCAGTATTCGCCCTCAGTTGTTCAAAGAGCTCTGCCAATTTGGGCAAGCTTCTAGGTGATGGGGAGGACTTAGGACAGGGGTCTGGTGCAGTTCAAAGCCTCTCTGCCCTCAGCCCCTCCTTGGGAGTCTCCCCTTTCTCTTCCAACCAATCCTCTGTGGGAACTTGTGTACCTCCTACCTAGAGCTAACAGCAGCCTTCTACAGAGTGACCTTTCAATGGACACACAGTTTACAGGCATAGACAGGGCAAGAGAGGTTACGATTCCTCAAATCTTTAGTTGATTGACTTCCTGTGTTCCCAGGCTGCTCAGTGCAGCTGAAAAGGATATAATAATCTGCTGGGCCTGTTGGGGAACAACCTGCCATCAGAGCCTCTACGTTGGAACATCAAGCCTCACCCTTGGTATTCATCACGATGGACAGATGCCATGGTGTTCCCTGCTCTCCTTTCCCCCAAGGAGTGAAACTACTAGGAGAAGGCAGGTGTCCAGGGCCCCCTGACCCTGTGTCCACTGTGGATAGGCATGACACAGTCTGCCCAGAGATAGGCATCTCAGATGCAGGTATAGTATTCCAACAGGAAGGTCCTCTCATGCTCAAAGAAGGCATCCACCTTCTAAGTGAGCCAGACAAGATGCTTACCTAGGTTACCAGAATAGGAACACAGGCCCCTAGGGTGGCAAATCTCCTTGCAACCCAGCCCAGTCTGTCCATGGCTTCCCTCCCACAGCCAACCTTGCCATAGGCTTGAGGACTTGGGTTGAATCCAGAGAGGGGCTCCAGGGTCACCTTGAGCCCTAACATACCAGTGATGAGGCTTCATCTGCAAGCCTCGTGATATACTTCAGAAGCCCCATGAGCTCTTTCCTGTTCTTCCCTCTGACACTCAGCTGGGGCACACAAAAGGAAGATGAGATGCTGGGGTGGGTGCTTGAATTGCCCATCCCCAATCATGAGATAGGGGCTTGAGCCTAGTGGTAGTCTTCTTTAGCTTGAAAACTCCACCCAGAAGGTGACCATAGTATTCTGGCCTGACTCACATCCCAGCAGTGTTCCAAAACCACAAAGTTGTGGTCTTGATGCAGGCTGGGTGGATTGCCAGTGTTGCAGAATTCATGCATTGCAAACTATCTTAAAGATGGCCAGGGACTTCTTGTAGGAGTGTAGGCAGCTCTGGGGCCCTGTTGGGCTCCACTGCCCTGCCCATCTTCCCCTCAGCAGTCCTGGGGCCAGAGGAACTTTCATAGGGGCATAGGTAAGAAATCATGGAGTGGGCTGGGGATGTGGCTCAAGCGGTAGCGCGCTCGCCTGGCATGCGTGCGGCCCGGGTTCGATCCTCAGCACCACATACAGACAAAGATGTTGTGTCCACCGAGAATTAAAAAATAAATATTAAAAAAAAAAAAAAAGAAATCATGGAGTTCTGGGAAGAGTGGGGCTGGGGCTTGGCCACCAGAAGGAGGAGGAGGTGGCACTCATGCTTCTAGCTCCTGCTTCATTTTGGCAGATTCTTAATTAGGGTTAGGGTTAGTTGTCCTGCTCATGGAGCTTCTGCAGATTTTCCTTTGAAGACTCAGCCTGGCCTGGGAGGAACTGGGGCGGGGGGAATCTCCTCAAAGGAGGAATAGGTTGCTGAGGAGGCCACTCGCCCATGCATCTGGCCTGCCTCTCACAGCCCATCCTGGTGTAGTCTTCATTCCCTGTATAGGTGTCATGTAGCCAGATGAATTTCTCCATGCTGCCATAAAATTGAGAATTCGGTGTGGGTAAAATGAGGGAGGCAGCTCTGGAAACCAAAAAGACACCCTCCCCGCCCCATTTAAAGATGAGTCTAACAGAGAAGTGAAGTAATTTGTCCAAGGGCACAGAGCTGCAAAGTAACAGGGTTATATTTGAACTCAGTTTCTTGATTCCTAGACCTACCCCTTTCCCTGCTGGTACTTCAGGGACCCTTCACCTGGGCATAAGAAATAAGTTCCCACCTTACCTGTTGAGGGCTGCCAAAACCATCCCAATCACTACTTTTGCTATCAAGAGGCAAGAGACTTCAGGCACAAACATTTCTCCAGTGAAAAGATCCAGGAAGCATCAAGCTATCAGTTCATTTTTTAAAATTTATTTTTTAGTTGTAGTTGGGCACAAT